TGTTAAGTCTCTTTTTTCAGTGCCATCACATTATACCTTTAAATGGTGAACAAGTGGTTGGTAAGTGAGGACTCTCTAACTATTCAACCCACCTGGACGGTTCCATCAACAAGATGTGCCATCACTGTATGTTAAATGTGAGAGGAACCTCTTAATTTTTTTATTTATTTATAAAATTTATATTGCAGCTTACATGAATATAAAATATCATATATAAAGAATAAAACTAATAGGAGAAACTAAATTAATAATATATTAATGAAATAATATGATACCCCCCACCCCGTTGACAACCCATCACACAGGCTATTTAATGGGGTCCATCCCACTCTGGGTTCTGCAGGCTTGCTGGCAGAACCAGGTCTTCAGCACCTTCCTTAAGAGAGTTGGTGCCAATCTAATCTTTGGGGGAATGCTGTTCCAGAGAGAGCCACCATGGAGAAGGTCCTTCTTCTGGGTCCCACCAGGTGTATTTCCCTAGGGGATAGGACATGCAACATTCCTTGCCTCCCTACTCTAGTGGGTTGGGTAGATTGGCAGAACTATACAGTGATTCAGCCGGTTCCCACCAGTTCAGGCAAACTGATTTTTAACCACTACCACCCCGCTATCAAAGTGGATCCTGGGTGCTATGTTGCAATGAAGAAAAACGGACAACAGAACTGCTGGCGTGAGGGAAAGAGAAGGCTGCTTTCCCCTCTTTCCACTCCCTGCTCCTCCTCCTCCCCTCATGCTGGCTGCTCTGTTGCTCATTTCTCCATTGCAGTGCAGTGCCTAGGATCCACTTTGATAGCCAGGGGAAGGGGGTGTTTAACAACCAATTCACCCAAGGTCAGGTTGGCCACGCCTTCCACAGCAGCCAACCTGACCTTGGGTGAACTGGTTGTTAAATTATTTGAATCCCAGCACTGGAGCTATATGTTTACCAAACCTTATCTCCTTCCAGAAGTTCAACTTAGGAGATGAATTTGTAGAAGGACTGGCAGAGGTAGGGGGAGAGGTGAAAAGGGGGAGGTCAACCTAGAATCACTATGTAGCCATAAATGAACTAAGACCAATCTTCTTTGGATACCATTGACTTTTATCTAACTCTAACCAAGTTAACCATTAGTTGAGAAGATTCCTGTGCATGAGCTTTTAGCAATAAATAAATGGACCTGGTCTTTCGCATCTGATAGAATTTCATCATAACTCATTAATTTTGGTTCGCTATAATACAGCACTGGTTATTCCAATTGGGAAAAATATCTAAAGGAAAATTGTAACTAACCTTTGTGTTTATTATGTTTATTTGTTTATTAAATGGGATATTTTGCCTCTGCTGTTCGGGTGTTCACTTTTCAGAAGACAATTAAAAATTATCATTTTCCAAAAACATCCTTTTTGTGTGGATGATAGATTAGGTTATCTGCCTTTATACAATGGTTTTGGTATCTTAAGATTTATATTCATTTTTATTTGTGCTGCATTGTTACCCATCCTGCCTGCAAAGCTGCAAAGCATATAAGCATATACTATACAAAGTCACTACAAATACATTTGCTAATTAGGCAGTATATGTATTAAATAAATATACAGGGCATTAAATCAAAGTACAGAGAATCATAACTCTCATATATTCTGTAGTTTTTGCAAACTATGCTGACATTGGGCAAATTAAAATAATATATATTGGCTTCCACTAGATTGTATAATATGATTTTTTTAAAAAAATTTGAAGTTTTATAAAACTACAGTCAGTCTGAATTATTTGTGCTTGATAGCGCTTAAGTGTTATTTTTGTATTACACTAAATATTCTATGACTTCTCTGTGTGTGTCCACTCATGAGCATGCATTACATGTAATCCTCAACTTACAACTACAATTGCACCCCAAGTTTCCACTGCTAAGCAAGACAGTTGTTAAGTACATTTTTCCCCTCTTAATGACTTTTTTTTTGCCACAGTTGTCAAGTGAATCACTGAAATTGTTAAGTTAGTTACATGGTTGTTAAGCTTCCCCGTTGACTTTGCTTGTCAAAAGGTGACATGACCCAGGACACTGCAACTGCCATAAAGACATGCCGGTTGCCAAGTGCCTGAAGTTTGATCACATGATAATGGGGATGCTGCAATTGTTGTAAATGTGAAAAACAATCATAAGCCACTTTTTTTAGCACTGTTATAACTCTGAATAGTCACTAAATGAATAGTTGTTAGTCAAGTACAGTATAGACCACCAGTACAACTCTATGAAACCCAGATACAAGTTCACTTTATAATATATGAAGAAAGATCTCTTTTTGCAATCAGTGTGGGCATTCCTTTTTGACAAGTGAGAATACTTGGAATTTTAAGGGCATATTATAGAGTCAATGATTCCCATGATTCAGTGATTGGCAGGATGAATCACAAAGAGCTCCTTTTACTAAAGGAAAAGGGGAGACTATTCTCCAACCTTTCAATCCCTCACCCTACTGCCACCATCCTCAAATGCTTTTATCACGTCAAGTGTTATTTGTACTTTTTTCCGGGTAAGACAGCAAGAACTATAGGCGCTCCATCACTGGAGGTTTTTAAGAAGAATCTGGACAGTCATTTGTCTGAGATTGTACAGGTTCTCCTGCTTAAGCAGGGGGCTGGACTAGAAGACCTCCAAGGTCCCTTCCAGCTCTTATTCTATTCTATACTATACTGTAGGCCCATATAATTTTTCTTTTTTAAAAAATGTCTCTCTCGGGTTATATGTACAAATCAAATATTTTCTGTAACAAAAGATTGGTGGTTTGCTTTGCAGGAAGTTAGACTCACAATTTTTTAATACTTTTAAAAATTCAGGACAAACCTACCAGGCATCTTAAAGGTGTCCATGAGCACAAAAGCATGTCTTGGGTATTTCCACTGGTGTCCCAGGGCTTGATACAATGAAAGCACTGATGATAGGCAGTATAAGCAGCATCAATTATATTGTCTCCCATGCATTCTAACTTAGCAGTAAAAATATACAAAATGTACCCAATAGCTTTAATAGTATCAAACTCAATTGTTCCAAAACTGGAAGGAATTTTGAAATCCTCCCATAATCAGAATAAAGTCACCTAATGGTGAAGAAAAATCCAAATTAAATTCATTCAGATTACAGATGGTCCTCAACTTATGACCACACTGGAGTCCAGAATTCTGGCTATATGTTATTCCAGTTTAAGGAATACTTAGCAAATCTTTAAACATTGTGCAGAATGTAAGAAGGATAATGTCCCCTTGGTTGTTTAATTTATTTATGAACAATTATGGAAGGAATGCTCATGGTGATATTATAAGTGTATTGCTTGGAGACATTAATGTGTATGCACTTTTTGTTAGAGATGATGCCATATTATTGGCTGAGGTACTATATGATGCAACAAGGAACATAAATCTGAAAACATATGTTTCAAAACCAAGATATTTTATATTTGACAAGGAAAAAGCAGTGGATTATTCCATGTTATACAATGGAATATATATGGTAAAAACTAAAATACATGAATTAGTGTATCTTGGAATAAATGTTTGTAGACAATAGGAAAATGAATGGAAGCATTTAAAGAGGTGCAGATGTGGTACAATGGTCTGTTGCAAAAATGAATGTTGAGCCTACATTATGGCTCATTCAAAATAGCTGTGTTTAGGAATATGCTTTCTGCACATGTACTTATACTAAAGTTATACTCATAATTAGATAGGTCAGAAGAAACATAAAGATGAGTTGGATGCAGGGGAAATAGTACCTTGATGTACGGTATTTCTCGGAGTATACGCTCTGAAGTATAAGACTCACCTAGCTTTTGGGGAGGAAAACAGGGGAGGGAATCTGCCTCTGCCTCCCAGCAATTTGCCTCCTTGCAGCAAACAGCAAACAGCCTGGTCAGCTTCAGCACAGCCTGATTAGCACAAGCAGCTGATTGTCAGTTGGATCAGCCTCCCGATGATCAGCTGTTTCAGGCTGCAGGGATTGCCATAGCTTATTGCCACTTCAGTGCGCCCCATATTCGGCCTCCACATCCCATTTTCAGCTTCTGCATGCCCCATTTTTGGCCCATTCCGGGCAGAGGGAGGCAGAGGCCAAAGGGTGGGGGCTGGTGAGTGGGTGGGGCTTTGGCAACATTCACTGTATAAGACACACAGACATTTCCGCTCACTTTTGGGGGTGGAAAAAGTGCATCTTATACGCCAAAAAAAGGTAAAGGTTCCCCTCACACATACGTACTAGTCATTTCCAGCTCTAGAGGGTGGTATTCATCTCCATTACAAAGCCAAAGAGCCAGCACTGTTCAAAGACATCTCCGTGGTCATGTGGCTGGCATGACTAAATGCCAAAGGCTCATGGAATGCTGTTACCTTCCCATCAAAGTGGTCCCTATTTTTCTACTTGCATTTTTACATGTTTTTGAACTGCTAAGTTGGCAGAAGCTGGGACAAGTAATGGGAACACACTCTATTACGTGGTGCTACGGATTCGAGCCACCAAACTGCCGACCTTTCCGATCAACCACCACATCCCTATTGAAAAAATACAGTATGTGTGGCTAAAAAAAGGAATCGGATGGAGTATGAATGGATGCTGAATTAATGTGTTCTGTAAAGTAAAAGCAAGTGGAAAATAAGTGTGTTGGTCAATGAACTAGAATCCAATAAGAAAATATAATTTAGGAGAAAGAAGATGGCACCGAATAAGTTACGTTGCATGAAATTACTGAGATCCTTTAAGAGATTAAGGTTTAAGGAGCAAAAAAACAAAGCAGTATATGGCTATGCTGAAAACAAGGATGGTTTGCAAGGACATAAAGACAGGGAGATTTATAGTGAAGGGTATTGGTGTAAAACCATATATACATTTCCTTTTCTTATCTCTTGGCTAAGTTATTTCTTATTACTTTTCTGTGCTTTACATAATATTGGTTATCTCTAAAGGGAATAGCACGATGGATATATATGTGTGCTGAAACATTGGACATCTAGCAACATTGCTAGATGTCAGTTAATAAAACAACTGCAGCAGCTGTTCTCCTTCAACTCATGTAATTTGAAAAGCCTCCAGTGAGATGCTCAAGAAGGGGAAAAAAGGCATTCTGTTACTTAAACTGTAGGAGAATGGTAAACATTTATTGAACTGCAATAAATGTTTGCAGCTGCATTTTAATTGTTCTTACAACCAAATAAATGCAAAATATAATTTATCCTTCACATTAAAATCTACAAAATTACAAAACTGTTGTGCTGATTATTCAAGAGTCTACTAATGGTGTAAGTATTGTATTTTTGTTAATTATACACATTTTCAGTGGTTTAAACAGTGCATAAGATCATTGTGTGTATGTGTGTGTGTGTTCACGCGTGTATGTATATATGTCAGTGACTAAGATGAAAACTTGTTTCTTTAAAACAAAGAAAGAAAGACAAACATTGTGGTTTTCCCCTCTATCAGCTATCTGTGGTGGATAAACATGCTATGCCCAAGTTAACGGTTCTGGAATGATAAGGATAACTGCCCCAAAGTGCTTTTTCCAGAAGGCAACTGGACTTTGTTGGGTTTTTTTTCTTTCAAAGTGTTTCACTTATCATCCAAGAGTATCTATCTAAGGTGAAACAGAAGCTTCTTGATGAGTCCAGTGGCCTTTTGGGAAAACCATAACCTGGATTATTGAGAAATACCATAGATCATGGGTGTCAAACTTGTCACATTACGTTGCCATCACATGATGTATCACAATGTTTTTTCCCTTCATGGAGCTGGGGTGGGCGTGGCCTACATGTGATGCATATGGCCCGTGAGCCACCAGTTTGACACCCTTGCCAAAGATGATAAGGATGACTATTCTAAAGAATGGCATGCACTTCACCAAATTTGGGCCACGTAGCATTAAAATGGAAAGATAACTCAGTTTTTGATGCTGGGCCATGTCAGGAATATTCCTTGCAATCAGTGACAGGCTGTGATTAGCAGAATTGAAGCATTCCTATCTTTCACTTCCAAAATTGCAGATACATATGATAGTTTTCTTTTAAAAAGTGTGTATCATTACTTAGTGTACTGTGGATATAACACATTAGGCATTGCTATTGAGTAATATAAATTTTTGCAATAATTTGCAGAAATCACAAGGGATGTTTTCATATTATAGCTTCAGCTAGTCATACCAGATTTATATTCTTTGAGATCGTACCTTTTGTTTTGATACTCTTACCATGTGTGTGTGTGTGTGTGTGTGCGCGCGCCTTCAAGTCAGGGAAAAAATCTCTGCAGTTTTCTTGGCAAAGTTTTTCAGAAGAGGCCTGTCATTACTTGTTTCCTAGGGTGATGGAGTCTGACTGGCCCAAGATCACCCAGCTGACTTCATGACTACAGTAGAACATTCTCCTGCATTCTAGCCTGGTGCCTTAACCACTACGCCAAAGTGGCTCTCATATACGGTACTATTTATAGCCGAAATATATTAAACTCAGTGGTGGAGAAGGAAACCATACAGATGTATCTGCATATCACTTTTTTTTTCCATATGAGAAAATGCTTAGCAAGGGCTATTTTTGTCCTGATTTCTTTTTCAGGACAAAAAGAATTTAACTAAACAGTAAAATACCAATTCTCTTTATAGCAAATTACCTCCAGATTCAAATGAGATCAAGGCTGCATCCAAAGGAACTAATAATCATATGAATAGTCTGAAGTGAATGGTTTGCATTCAGACAGAATATTGATGACTGACAATGTTTGATGCTATTGCTTGGGTTCTGAAATAAGTTTTTATTTGACCTTAAATCTCAATTTTCAAGGTGTCAGACAACCACCAGGTGAATATAATAGTCCACCAGGATTATATAAATGTTTTAAGTCCTAAAGAAGATCTTATTCTTATCACTTTAGAACTGGAAGAAAATCAACACCAACTAAGCACAAAATGGCATTAATCAACTCATCTTTAGCCAGTGGTTTTTTTGTTCATTAAGCCAACTTTTCAGGATCTCTTAAATGCGAGCTACCACATTGGAAAAGCCAATGGATATAAGTGGCCTAACATTTGATGTCAAGCCACTGACATCATCACAAAATAATGTGACAGCTGCAATAACAATTTAGTGACTTTTTCCAGGGACTACCCACATTCTTGGTTCTCCCATTTTTAACTAATCCATCCAACCCTAGTAACCCCTTCTTCCCAAGAACCTCTACAAACAGAGCATGAGTAACTATTCAGTGCAACTACTCCTGTCATTTGTAGGAGAAAGAAGTAGCTATTTTATGGGATGGAGTCCACCTAGGCAACCACCTAGTTCAGGAGAGGAGGGGGGAAAGTGCACTGGCTCACCCTCTCTACCCTCGCTCCCAGCTGTTTGAACTTCACTTTTTTTTTTACATAAAGGGAAAATACAGGTAGTTCTTGACTTACAACTATTCGTTCAGTGACCACTCGAAGTTACAGTGCACTGAAAAAAGTGACCACTTTTCACACTTATGACAGTTGCAGCAACCCCAAAGCTATATGATCAAAAGTTGGATGCTTGCAATTGGTGTATATCTGAGAGGTCCTTGGTTCTCTCTGAGCTTGGTTATTGTCTTGCAGACATTCAAACACAGTCATGTATCACTGATTATATTTTCTAGTTTGGATAATGAAACATCTGCAAGAAAGAAAGAAAAAGCTCAGTGAGCGCCAAGGACCCCTCATTTCAACCCTGGGCTACAAATATTCTCCTTTATTGGCACATGGTTGCAGTGTCCCCGGGGTCACATAATCAGAGTTCACTTAACTGTGCTATTAACTAAACAACTGCAATGAATCACTTAACAACCGTGGCAAGACAGGTTATAAAATGGGGTAAAACTCAATAGCCCATTTTGCTTAGCAATGGAAAAATTGGGCTCAGTCGTGGTCCTAAATCGAGGACTATCTGCACTGGGGAATATACTCTCAAATCCTGATTATGTGCAGAATTTAACAAGGAACAAGATCTATAGCTTTGGCTCAGTGTCTTAAACTCCCGAGGAGAAAAGCTTTGGAAGTTCGTTTGGCCCGAAATGGGCCATTGCAGAAGGCAGGCGCGCGGGAACCTCGCCTCGCCTCACTTCACCCCAGAGGCAGCGAGACTCGCGTTCGCGGTCGGCCTTTCCGCACCGGGCGCCAATCTCCACCTAAGGAACACGGGGTGTTTGCCTTCCACGCGAGACTCTTCCAAGGGAAAGCAGCCCACGCCGCGTCTCGATTGACCACCGCCCTCGGTTCTAGCTTCTCCTTCCAACCCCTCTCAAACTCCTGCGCTGCTCGCTGGCCTCGCCTCGGGCCCACTAGGCATCGTGTTGGAGGGAGCGGAGGAGAAAGACGAAGCGGTTCGCCCCTGTAGTTCTCCGTCTCATTCACCATCACCACCTTCTCTCAGAGTTAACGAGCGGGATGGGCGCTCGCTCTTTACTTCTGAGGAAATAATGAAATGGGTCCGCAGTCTCCTCACACTTCCAGAACTCTAGAAATCGAGACCGCGCGGTCGAGGGCATCTGAGGCGGGGGGGGGGGGGGGGGGGCGAATCAGTCCGCTTGGGTCCAAGCGCATCGTGTTATTCACCGCCCCCTTATCTGCACCCTCCACAGTTTGGCAAACGGGGTCCCAAAGACCCCTCCCCCCAATCCACGCGGAGTGTTTGCAAGGTCTCCGACAGAGCCTCGTGGTGGAAACCCCGCGCGCTTCTTGGCCGCTTAGAGAGCCCCGCCGCCTCCAGCGCTCGGGAACGAGCAGGTGAAGCTAGCGCCAGTCCGCAGCGCCCCGCAGCAGCTGGGGGCACCGCACTACAGGCGCGGAGCTCCACCGAAGGGATACTTGGACGGCAGTCGCCCCAGCCAAAAGAACAAGAGATCGCGCCCGCGGACACGTCCCTCTCATATCCCGGCAGTTTCCGCGGCAGCGGGATCGTCTCCTTTTCTTCCCCACTAGCGCCGTTTTTTTACGCGCTTCTTCCCTCTCCCCAAGGCGCGTCCTCCTCGGTCGTTCTCCCATCTTAGATCAGAAGACGCTGACCGCAGTCGCAGTCGTTTCCGAGGGTTACATCTGGACGGTGGAAACTGGGGAGCCTCCTCAGAGCCTTTCCGGTTATTTCTGAGAAAGTCCTTCCTCGCTCCCAAAGAAACGCCGCCGTCGTTTCGACATTTTCGTTGGCCTGGTTTTTGAGAGGAGACGCCGTTTCGTCTACTCCTCCGATCCTTCCCTTTTGTAAAGACCTACCCCACCCCACCCCGAGTTTTCTAACAGCGCTTCCACATGCCGTCGCTCTTCCCATCAAGTCACCCCAATTCATCCTTGGTTTCTCTCTCACCCTTCTACAACCACCTCCACTATCGGGATTAAAGTCCCCACAAAGAAGAGACTGGGGACTTAAAAACGCTCCTCCTGTCACCCCAATAGTTCTCAGTCATCTTTAGTATCAATTCCAGGCGCTTTAAGCCTCTCTTCTCCCCCCCCCCCCCACCAGCTCGTACGCGTGTAACCATGTCGTCGGGAAAGCGAGGGACAGCCACTGTACCCCGCTTCTCAACAGCATAGACGCCGGTAGTGGCTCTGTTCCCACGCATTATCCCCCCCCCCTCCGTGACTGAAATAACCGCAGCTGTCACAGAAAACTCCCCTTGTCCTCAACTCCGTCTCCCCTACCACCGTCCCCTTCGCGAAAGAAACAGCCTCCGCAACAGATGCTACCCCAGCCCACGGACATCGTCTCCCCATCAACGCCACGTCGAAAGACCCATAGTAAAAAAAAAAAAAAAACGAGCTGAAAGATACCCCTACCCACCCCTCCAGGCTTTTTGACTCCAATGGCCCAAGGTGAACCCCCTCTGTCCCCAAATAACTACTATTAGTAATCCCGCTCGGAACAACCACGCTGAGGCAAACCACAGCAGCACCAGCAATAGCATCGCTTCTCCCTTAATAATCTTCCCTCCCCCCCCCCCCTTGCCCCGAACCCACCCACTCCTTCCCACCCCCACCCCGACCCCCCCCCCCCCCCCTCCCGAAATCCACACACAGCCCGAGAGTTTGCAGCGCTAATTCATAGCCGGCCAAACATCTTTGTTCGCCGTAGGTCATTTTAAAGAGTGTGTGTGTGTGTGTGTGTGTGTGTGTGTGTGTGTGTGTGTGTGTGGAGTGGGGTGGTGGTAAGCTTAGATGCCCCCTCTGGGAACCCCCCCCCCCGCCCCAAACCACACGAGGGTCCTGGGCGGTCTTGCTCATTGGTTGCCCGCTTACCTTTTTCAGCGCGGACATTCTAGTGCATTATTCATTTAGCGTACAGTGAGTTGCATGCTGCGTTCAACGAGTCAGGTGGAGGACAGTAGTGGTAGTAACAGTGGTGGCAATAGTGAAGGCGAAGGAGAACAGGAAGAAAAGAGGCAGAGAAGTATGCATAATTAACATTATTCCCCCGCGTGTATTTGTCTCAGAGACTCGCGCGCGGCCAGCCACACATTCGGGAAAACGGCGACGCTGGATAAGTAAGTTCCCTTGTCGCTGTCCAGGCGCTGCCCGGCTGCTCCGTAAAAAAGCGGCTTCCGCGCTGTGAGCAGAGCGGCTTCGCTCGCTGCTGCTGCTGCCGCTGTCCGAACCGCGCTCCAGGCGGAATTCTCACCGTTCTGCGCAGCCGCGCACGGCCTCCCCACCCCCTCCCATCCAGAGCTCGGCAGGCGGGGCCAGTCCCGGGCCAGGCAGCCCGAGAAGGGAGGTCTTCCCCCGCCCCTTGGAACGCTCGCGTAAGGACCGCCCCCTTTAGAGCAAGAGCCAATGAGAAGCCAGAGCCTCTGCGGATTAGACACGCCCGGATGGAAAAAGGAAGCTGGGAGTGGGTCGGTGCAGCAGCAGCAGCAGCAGCAGCAGCAGCAGCAGCGGGAGAACGTGGAGGGATGTTTTCCAACCGGGTGCTATGATTCTCCCTCTGCGGGGGGTGTGAGCCTTTGCTGCTTTTGTGCACCTCTCTGGGACACATGGCCTTGAACAGGAGGAGTGAAGGTGAGGCGGCGGGGCGAGCTGGGAGCAAGCAGGCAAACAAGAACGTCGCTGTGCAGGAAGCATTGAGATTAAGCGGAGCTGGGATGGACAAATATCTCCCCTCCTTAGTACAGTGCTGTAGTAGAGTTTGCTGCGATCGGTTTGTTTGCGTTTCAGGCATGGACAAAGCACTAAAGGCTAACAACAAGAGCCTTAAGACACTTCTGCTGTTAAGGGGTGAGAAGATTTGAAGAAGCTTTGGAAGGAGGTCATCAAATAGCGTGGAAGAGAGAGGGAGAGAGACAGAAGGATAAGATAGATCAGGTTTGCCTGTCACCTGACTTGATGGGCAAAGTAAGGTCCTATAGTAGTGAAGCTGACAGGTGACACAGTAAGGTTGATCTCTTTTGGTTCCACCTCCAAGTAATCCACACAAGAAACATGATCAAGCAAATCTGAGGAATGCCATACCAGGAAATGATGGACTCTGTTATTAAGTCACATCCTAAGATCCCAAAATTGGGGATTGCTGAATGTCAACTTGGATCCCTGCAATTGCTAAAGAAAGTGTGTTTGTCAAGTGCTGAAAAATATTTCAGTGATTGATAAAATTATGTATTACTAATTTTTTATTTCTCTAATATTGCATCACTTACTGATAAAAGTTTTGATGTTTTTAAAAGTGTGCCTGGGACCTTGAGATGAATTGATCCATATAACAGATAATGTGCCAGGAATGCAGCAAACCACAATTTTGAAATTGACATTATTTGTTTACAGAGATGGACCTACTATTTACACAGTGTGAGGCAAGTTCACGCAGAGCAGTGGTTGCCAACCGGTGAGCTGCGAGAAAATTTTGGTGGTCCGCAGAGAAATGTCATCCCCAGAGCACCTTTAAAAGCAGGTTGCACAGGAACACAAGGCTGCACCGCCCACATGGCTCTCCCTCCCCACTCACTCCTTACCTGGCAAACTTGCCTGCTAAGTTGCTATTCCCCCCACCACCACCACCATCAGCTGTTCTGCTATGCTGGGCGATTTGGAGTAGCTAGAAAGCAGGAAACCGTTGCATTTTTTACTTTCTAGCTAATCTTTAGATTTTTGGCTCTTTTAAGCAGAGCCGAACCTTCCTTAGGACTGAAGCTTCTATTATTCAGTGCAGGTAGCCGATGGCAGAATCATAGATCTCTAAGTGAATCTGTGATTCTGTGAGCAACTCTGCCTGCCTGCTTTGCCTGATTTTGGGTAAAAGTTGCTCTTTTTTATAAAAAATTCAATGTTTACATAAATATTTATAATATTTACATACAAGCCATGCCCAACCAGTCAGTCAGTCTATCTCTCTCTCTCCCTCCCGCCCACCCTCCCACCAAGTCAGCAAGCCACCGTCAAGCACAATTTATATTAGTGGTCCCCAGGATTCAAAATTATGAATTTGGTGGTCCCTGAGGTCCAAAAGGTTGCCGACCCTGATCCAGAGTGAGTAGGAGGGAGTGGTTAATGACTGCCCAAGTACAAGACTACCAGGGATAAACTGTAAACTGTCACATGGTCTCCCAATCCCTCACTAAATTAGCTTGTAATGTTCAGATATAGTAAAATAGCCTGTCGTCAGTGTTAAAATAAGACAACAGTGAGATTTGTAAACTGGAAAAGTTGACAACTTCAGGCTGCAAATAACTTGCACCAGCCCTGTAACTAATTCTTGGAAGACAAATTAGAATGATCTGTGGACTAATGGAGTTGATTCCATGTTGGGAAGATTTTTGTAAATCTTGGAAGTTTAAAATTCTTCTGGCTGGATTTAGAAATATCAATGAACAGCCATTCTTGACTACTATCTCTACTTTTTATATGGTAGGTTGGCATTCATCATATCTACTGTCATAATGAAATCCTAGTGTGGAAGTTACATAAATATTTGTTTAGTATTTATGTCCAGCATTTATTTTGTAAATTACTCAAGGCAACGAATGAACCTATTTTACTTTCTCCTCCTGTCTTACAACAGTCACCCTGTGAGATAGGCTGGGCTGAGAAAAAGTGACTGGCCCAAAGTTATTCAGCTGGCTTTAATGCCTAAGGCAGGACTAGAACTCAAAGTAACAATAGTAATAGCGCTTAGACTTATACACCATTTCATAGTTCTTTACAGCCCTCTCTAAGTGGTTTACAGAGTCAGCATATTGCCCCCAACAACTTGGCTCCTCATTTTACTGACCTTTGAAGAATAGAAGGTTGAGTCAACCTTGAGACGGTTAGGATCAAACTCTTGGCAGTTGACAGAATTCATCTGCAATACTGCATTCTAACCACTATGTCACCACAGCACAATCTCCCAGTTTCTAGCCTGGTGCCTTAATCAGTCTCTAGGTCATTATTCCTCTATAAGTTAAGAAGTTTACAGAAACAGTGTTATGGCAGGAACATAATGGAGTGATATGAGTGGGGAAGCATTTCAATGAAAATTAATAAACTATTTTCATTGGCTCTAATACCTTGGGTGGAGCCTGCTCATGAATCAAAATGTTGTGAAAGTAGAGAACCTTATCCAGAGTGGGTGTTTTTTGGGGGGGGAGGATGGCAAAATTAGTTATAACTTAATTTTTCCTTACCTTCAGCTCTGTGTTATAGGAAAGAAAGAGTAAACTGTAGTTAACTCTCCCTTTTGGCTCTCAACTCCAAAGACAGCAAGTCACAAATTAGGGCTATTATAACTCCAGTTTTCTTCCCCTGTTTCAGTGGTGGGATTCAAAATGTTTTACTACCGGTTCGGTCGGTGTGGCTTGGTGGGCGTGCTTTGCATGCATGTACACACTTTGCGTGCACGCGCATGCCACACGCACACTTTCTGCAGGTGCAGAGGTGTTCCAATTCACTTCCTGCAAGCCTGCACTCTCCTAGTTGCTTCAGCAGCTGCTGCACAGCACTCTGCTGTGCCGCACAAAACAGCTGCACTTCAAAAGCAGAGGATAAAGGTGAGTATGGGAGCCAGGCGGGTGGGTGGGCCCAACAGCAGAGTGACGGAGAGAATTGGTTCAGTGTCTGCTGTTCATTGCTGCTACCGGCTCAGCAGAACCGGGCCGAATCGGTAGAATACCACCATTGCCCTGTTTGCTTTTTAGGTCATTTATTGGTATTCAGGATCTGTTCTGAAATGATATATGTAGGAAGCATGGGGCAATTCCAACCGTGGTGATTCTGGTTTTTTTTTCCCTATAAAAGTATTCATTAAAACAATGAATCAGGAAGTATCACCTAACCAGTCATTACCAAATCACAATCAAGATACTTGCCCCAAAGCAATCCAGAACTTGGAATGTCTGGTGCCAAACTTTTGTATGCCATGGAAAAGTTTCTTGCATTGAGGGAAAATAGGAATTCATACCCCACAGTATGCTATAAACTGCCTCACCCAATCTTGTCTCAGTATGTTCCTATGACTCCAACTATTGAACACTAAACCTCAAGTAATCAGAGTTGGATCTGGTTAGTGTTTATATGGTAGATGCAAAGGTTTTAGGCTAGATTTAGAAGGTGAAAATATCCTGGAAGAAGGTAGTAGTGAATCTCTTCATATTATTTTCCCAAGAAGCTCAGTGAAGATGTACATTGTTATATATGAGGATGTCTGATATTAAAGTGACCAATTGTCCTCCTTTAGGGAGGACAGTCCTTCTTTTGTAAGTTCTGTCCTCTCTCAAAAAGTATCCTCCTACATGTCCTCCTTTTTGATATTTGAAGACTAATTTGTAAATCTCCGTATTTGATCGATGCCGATCTGATCCGTTGTGTGTGACATGACGTATTTGTATTTGACATGGCGATTTGTCAAGGCTCGGTACAGTGCGGCGAGACGCGATTATGAGACGCATGTGCTCCGCACAGGAGAATTGTTTTGAGAGAGTGTGCCGCGTGCAAGAGTGGCTTTGTTTTTTTTCCTACTATTTATTTGTGTCCTTCTCATTGTAAAAAAGTTGGTCAGCTTACAGATATGTCTTTAAAAACTATGGTTTTAAATATTTTGACTTTATATGTGTGACCCTAACTGGAGAACAAAATGATGGGCTGCTTGTCAGAAGAATAAGTCTTGGTTTGTAAATAATGCTAAGATTATGAGTACTAAGATATGATTTGTTCAACCTGTTCAGATACTGGGAAAATATGAACAATAGCTGTTGGACAGAAGGAAAGAGCATGAATGTGCATTTGCAATGGGTGTGAGTGCAGCCAAAATATTATTTTTTCTTTATCTATTAAATCTATCACAAGGCTTCCTGTGTCATTTAGTTACTCCAGTGAAATTAGTGGAATGACAAAGAGAGCTTGATTTTTCACTATTTTAAAATGCAGATAAAGGTTCTTGAAGTCATTGTAAAAGAATACAGCCATTTACCATTGGAACTTTTCTCTACTATTGATGTAAAGGAACAGCTATCTTTTGGGTCAGCAAAAAACATAAGCAATATAATTATTGTCAGTTCCACTCTTCCTTTATAGCTGTTCTGGCCAAATTATGTGATTCTAACTGATGCGTTTGCTAATATGCCCTTCTGTTCGTCTCTCCGGAGTGTGCAATTCTTCCCCCTTGGTAGCACGGGAAAGCCAAGCTGTTTTATTTATTGATTCTGTGTCATTTTTGCCCATTGCAACATTTCATCTCACAAAAGTTCACTATCACACCAGTTTGGGTTTGCACAAATCCTGTCTCTGCCCTCAATTCCCCTTCTCTTAAGTCTTGTTTGTAAGAATTTCATATATCTCATTTGGAGCTGGAAGAGAAGATTGACTTGACCACATTAAGGAAACTGACTAGAAGTGTTTGGAATTTGGAGATATTTATCTCTTCATTCCTGGAATTGTTTTGCAAAATCATCTATTTTCAATAGCATAAGGGGTAGTGCAATATCATGCTTATATGTAATAGGTAAAAGGTTGGGGAGAACAAAAGAAAGGGATGGGCTAGAAGAAGCAACTAGGTTTATATAAGTTAGATATCTTTACAGGTACATTTGAAA